TCGATTTGGTATGGTCAAACTGATACATAATTTAGTCACCTGGGATCAACCAAGTTGTGTCATATTTTTTGACTATTTCGAATATCACCTAAAAGTAATTCAATCAACCTGGGCAGTGCCCTAATTCAATCACTCGATTGATCCAATGAAAATTCCTTATTTTATTTAAATATATTTAATTTTATGAAATAAAAATATTATATGATTCATATAATAAATGTCTACACCAAATGATAGTATATTAAGATTATAAATTATAAATCGAAAGATGACTTAATTATTTTTACATTATGCATATTAATGAAAAATAAACATAGTAATTTTTAAAAAGAATTAAGATTAATATATTGATTATGCAATTTAAAGAATTTTTTAGCGTTCAATATTTCTATTTTGAAAGGCACAAATATAAAGACCGGATTCTAAAACTTTTGTTATATTTTGAATTGAGATTTTATAAATATAGAGACCAAATTTTTAATGTTGTTCGTTGTTTATAAGAAAAAAAAATTAAAATGAAAACATGCACACTTAATAGATCTTAGTCGGATATTTTAAATAATAAAATGAACTAAAGCCTGAAATTTAATATAACATTTAATGTTGTATGATTTTTTACAGAAAAATAATGAAACTTACTATTTATAGGCTACATTAAAGTATACCTATTTTTTGGCTACTATTTTTGGTAAATGGTTATTCTTAATATATATATATATATATATATTATACGCAGGCACTTAATAAAAAAGAGCGTAGTGTATTATCTATTAATATATAAAAAGACAATGATATTTACTTGAAATAGTAACTAAAAATCAACAAAAAAAATTTTGGTTTCCCGCCTAAAATATTTACTAAATTGAGTAATCTTTTTGGCCAAAATTTGAATAATCCCGCCTATGTGAAATCTTTATTTTTTTTCGAAAATTTAAATTGTAAACATTGGGCCAGTTTGGAAACAAAATCGGGCCTAATTTTTTGTCTATCAGATATATTTATACTATTTATTTTTTTTAAAAGCCGATTGTCGTGCCAATCAAAAAATCTGAATTTTTGTTAATTTAAACTATCAGTTTATTTCAAATGTTTTTTTTCTTGCCAATAAAAAAATATGAATTTAGTTAATTTCAACAACAGATTACCAATTATAAAAAATACGATTTTGCTAATTATAAAATACAATTATACATATGAAAATCTTTTATTTTTTCTATGTTAATTTTTAGTTCATAATCACAATAAAAACTAATTTTAAACCTATTTATCATTCAAGTCCATAAGGTAGCACAATTTAAGTACACTATAGTTAGGAAAGTAAATTTTATTTGCATATAAAATATTAGATTTTGAATTTTTTTTTTTCAAAACAAATTCTAAAATCTGATTATATAAGGTAGCACAATAAAAGTCCACTATAGTTAGGAAAGTAAATTTCATTTGCATATAAAATATTAGATTTCAATTTTTTTTTCAAATATAAATGCTAGAAACTGATTCCGTAGTACAAAAAATATACTCCAATTTTTTATTTTTAAAATTATTCCATATAAATGTTATGCATATTTTATTGTTATGATTAAAATCTTATTGTTTTTATTTAAAGGCTATAGACACATGAGTTTGTCCCACAATCGACTCAATTATTGATAATTGGTGGTACCTTGTGTGCAAAGGTGCAATAGCAAGATGGAGAATGAAGATGGCGAGATGCATTGCACCAAGTTCACCCATGCACATGGCACTGCACGGTAGAATAAATTCTTTTTTTTTTGCAATATTAAATCATTTTTAATTAATTAATATATTATTTGGTACTTTATGACATGCTTTTCGTATTTATAAAGATACAAGATTCAATTTGGAGTCGCTGATGCTTCTGCAAATGACACTTTCATATGTTGGGATAGAGAGTGTGAACGGATGATTGACAAGTCTTGTGAGCTTCTAAAACGTGAATTTTCTGCGTTACAGGTGACAAATATTTAATAAAAAAATATCAAATACTTAAACTTTTACCAAACCAAGAATATTGAGAAGTATTTAATAACATATTTTTTTATATACTTTGTATTTCTCTTTTCCTTTTTCCCATTATAATCAAATGATTATTTTTTAAGGAAAAATATTTAAAATAAAGTTTAGAAAAAAAGGGTTTGAGGAACAACCCACCATGCAGCGCAAGGGGAGTACACTAGTTTCATAGTAATATAATTTACTAATTTTTAATTATGTTGAAATTATTTTACTATATTTTAAATATTTTTAATAATGTGTATTTTAATTTTTCAGAATTTTCTTTATAATGTAATAGTTAATGTGACACACTGATTTGTTTAACATTAATATTTGTAACAAATATAAATTATAAATATTTTTATTTTACTTCTTAACTAAAATTTTACATAGTTTGTTGGACAAATCACTTCTTGGTTTATCACTTCAAGTTATGAGAATGCACTTTATATATTTACTAGTATATTAGTAAACTAGTAAGGCTTCATGTGTAATGATGTTAAATATTTGTCATCCAATTTTTATTTTTATTTTTTTTATGAATAGTTATAGGGTATTCACGTGGAGGAGAGACTTAATTCACATATAATATTATTTGATTCATTAATATTTTTATTATGTAAAAAAGTGTTTCATGTGCATTCACAAATCTTAATATCAGTGTCAAATTAAAAAAAATATAAAATGAATAAATATGGAAGAAGAAGAGGAAGAAAAAAAAAAAGACGATAAAGACAAAATCCAACAAATAAATAAGTCCATCAATAGTAATTACTAATTAATAAACATTCAAATTCCCATAGCAGATCATATTCAAAGTAAAATTCAAACCATCAAAGTCCGAGAACAAAATAACTAGTACCAAACTTAGAAGTTAGAAGTAAAATAAGAAATACTAAATTTAAATAATATAAAATTAACAAATAAGTAAATAATAAAAAAGGGGCTGGACCGTTGGCCATCCCGCCCCAGCCCGCTTTAGACCGTGGGCCGAACGGGGCGGGCCAAATAGGCCCGCGATTGAACGGGCTGGCCAAGCAAAGGCCCAAGCCCGCCCATTTAGGCGGACGGACGGGCCAGCCGTCTCAACTGCCTATCTCTAAAAAAATGTAGGATTTACAAGAGCTCTGAGCATGCACTCATGCCACTTGTGCTTTCTAATTTATACATTGTTAAATTTTTCCATGCATGAGTGGTGACCAATAAATTAACTAATAAGAAATNAACTAGTACCAAACTTAGAAGTTAGAAGTAAAATAAGAAATACTAAATTTAAATAATATAAAATTAACAAATAAGTAAATAATAAAAAAGGGGCTGGACCGTGGGCCATCCCGTTCCAGCCCGCTTTAGACCGTGGGTCGAATGGGGCGGGCCAAATAGGCCCGCGATTGAACGGGCTGGCCAAGCAAAGGCCCAAGCCCGCCCATTTAGGCGAACGGACGGGCCAGCCGTCTCAACTGCCTATCTCTAAAAAAATTTAGGATTTACAAGAGCTCTGAGCACGCACTCATGCCACTTGTGCTTTCTAATTTATACATTGTTAAATTTTTCCATGCATGAGTGGTGACCAATAAATTAACTAATAAGAAATCGACACTAAAATTTGTTTATCTTTGTATTAATATTTTTTAACGAAATTTTATTAAATAGCTAAATAATTTATGGCATGAAAAGCCCCAAATTTCGTAAATGATTTTTATAATAATAATGTAGAATTTATTTAAGCAATCAGTTGGCCACGATCGATTAGTTATATTAAATTAAACGAGTCTTGCTCGGCTCGCCTCATTTGATAAACGAGTCGAGCTCGAGCTCATTTAAAGCTCGTTTAATTAAAAGGCTCGAAAAGAAAAATTTTATATAATTTTTCATAATTAAGCTCGTTAAAGCTCGAGATTGATCGTCTCGAACTCGGATCGGTATGAGTGGTAAACGAGTCAAACTCGAGCTCGATTTCAGGCTCGAGCACCATAAGCTCGAGCTCGT